TGGCATACTTAAAATGTTCTATTGTGCCTGTGGCACCACCGTTATGTATTTTGTTAGAACATTAGCCATAGTGGGGCAGGAGTGCCCTGGGCCCGTTCCGGCCTAAAAGATTATTCTTAAGCTTATGTTAAATGTGTCTTGAAGGACCTCCCAAAGGTCAAGGAGATTTCTGCCTACATGTGACTTCAGCACACCCTCTATTGTGACCACTGTAATTAACAGTAGGTGATCAGAGCAAAGGGGAGCGGTCGGGAGACTTCCTGGAAAATCTTATCATATACTAAGGAAGTATAAGAGACCTATGTAATTCTTTTATAGTAGTATATTAGGGAGTCGGAGGGGGGTTGCTTCCCAGCAAGGCTACCACAGTTTCTGGAGCAAATAGCAAGCGACCTTGCTGACATGCTAATTCAACCTAAGTTTTATTCCTAGGTCTGGGGGGCACACAGCAGCAGCCTTGCCAATGTGCTGACCTGACCTAGGTGGTACTTAAAGGTCAAAAGCTCAAAACAGATCCTGAGGCCCTACCAGGTCAGACTCCTCTAAGAGAGACAGAAAGTGAGAAATCACTCCCACCACCACCACTGCCCCCCCCGGGGGGGGGGAATGGCCATGCTGCAATCCCTTCTCCTTTATTCTCCTCTGGGTATCTTGGGCATGCACGCACATGTGCCTGGCATGAGCTTCAAGCCGCTGGGTCCGGCAAACCATGGTTGACTATGTGGGAGTCCAGCAATGTAACCATTACGCCATCTGCTGGTCCCACCATGCTCCTGTTTTATTTTTTTTCTTTATTCATAACAGAGCATGAGCATGTACATGTGAGAGAGACAGAGAGAAGACCCTTCACAGGGTCTGGTCATGCCACAATCCTTTCCCTCCAAAACCTCCAATTTGTCAGATCTTGGCAAGTACGTATGTGCTTGGTGTGTTTCAGGCTGATCAGGCCAAGAATTCTAACATAGAGAAAATGTGGGATCTGACTTCTCTTAAGCAGTACATTATCATTGCCCCACAGAGCTGCCCCCACACTCCTATTTTTATTGTCCTGTACATTTACTAATATAAAGGCACCTTAGCTTTGAGTGGGTATAAATTCTCAACACCAAGTCCTCTAACTTGGGTCAACATCCTCTTCAAAATGAACCTGCATGGAAACCAATGCTGAAAGACGAACAGAGGTCCCAGCCAGGCCTGGCATCTGTGTGAGTAAGGACAGGATACTGTCTTCCTGCAGCCACCCCCCCCCACCCCCCTGCCTTCCTCCATCAAGTGTCTGTGGACATCTTTGAACCAATGACTGAACTGCTGCAAAGATTCTGGAATCCCCGTCCTTGCTCAAGTCACAGCTATGCAAAAGGTGGGTACTAGAGTAGGGGAGGTGAGAGTACAGGACAGAAAACCTGTTCTGCCTCTCAGGGAGGGGAAAAGCATGCTCCCCAGGAAGCTCAGAGGTGACAGGCAGCCCAGGGTCACAGCAGGGCATGAGTGAAAGATGGCCTGCTTGCTCTGTAAGAGGAAGCAGTGAGAGTCAGCAAGAGGCAGAGGGCCACCTGCAGGAGGACTGAGCAACCTTCCTGAGAAAGGAGGGAGGGAGGGAGAGAGGCTGGCTCTGGCAAGGAGGGAAGGCGGGAGCAAAGGGAGTCAGAGGATCAGTTCAGGCAGTGAGAGGGCAGCCCCACTGTATTTCCCAGGCTGCTCTCTGGATGCAGGCAGGAAGGCTGGGTGTGCTTCACTGGCCCCACCTCCAGAGGCTTTCCACAGCTGCTGGACTGGACACAAAAGTATGGGAGACAGAGACACCATCTCTGCGGATTTGTACCAAACTCTTGTTCCTGTTGTTGAGTGGCTTCATGTGACAGGAGTTAGGGCAGGAATCCCACACTGCTGTCTGCATTTCTCAGGTAAGCAACTGTGTCTGAGCCAGAGGTAGAGACCAAGACCGAAAGGCGGTGGGCAGAGAGGAAAGCGGGAGGTGGCTGTCCTGGGGTGGACTCAGCACAAGCAGAAGGGGCCAAAGGAAGAGGAACCACTGCTGGGAACTGGAATGAGCCCTTGGGCCGGGCTTTGCAAAGTGGCCATGTGTGAGGTAGGGGAGCTGTGGGCTGCACTTGGTCTACTGCTGTCTGCAGTGTGGATGAAGTTCCATGAAAACAGCTGTGCTCTGACAGCCTTGGGGCAGCCACCCCATGCACCAGTGTTCTCTTCCAGACCAAGTCAATTTGTGCAAACTTTCAGAAAATCCCACCCTCAACCCTGGCCTTCCTCCTGGTCTTCATGGTGGTTGAGAGAGAGCCTTTGGTAGAAGGAAGAAAGCAGGCCGTATGCGCAGACCAAGGAGGGGTTTCGCTGTCAGCCTCCAGAGAAGGGGTTAGCTAGCAAGAGACATGGGCTGCCCTAAGAAGGCTCACCTGTGGCCCAGAGGAAGGCAGGAAACTCAAGCTGTGTAGAAAGGGGCCTGTGAGCTGGAGGTGGGTGGAGAGTGAGTGAAGTGAGTGGTGTGAATGCCACGGGCACATGCACAGTGTCGTTGCAGAGATCTGGTTCCTAGAAATCTAGTGTCCTTTCACTGTCCCTGCTGGTGGATCACAGCCCTTAAACAAGCCTGCTGGCCTAAGTCCTATGAGGTTGGCCAGCACTGTGTCTCCTCTATTAACTACACACGTGTGTGCACCCACCCACACTCTCTAAGATCCACTCTGCTGAAAATGCGTCAAACCTGGGCTCCTGTCTAAAGACTGGCCAGCCACAGTCTGATATGTTACAGCAACGAGGGACTTCAGGGCACAAAGGAGCATAGGACTCTAAGCCCCAGTCAATGTGTCTTCCCTCCTTTTCTGGTGTCTGTATTCAGCGTAGAAGGTAAGGATTCCTCCCTGCTGCTCCCCCACCACACACACACACACACACACACACACACACACACACACAGTAAGTGGTTTCAAG